TTGCAATTTCAAAGTCACTAATTTTTGTATTAAAAGTTTATATTACTAGTGTTGTGTACTTTTAATAAAATTATAGATTTAATACATCGCTATTTTTAAGATTTTAAAAGTTTTGTTAATGCATGATTTATAGGAAGATCATGTGAACAATTTGTGTCAAGGTCATGATAATTATCAAAAATAACATAGTTGCCTGTTAATAAATTATAATTATTTTTAATAATATGCCACCTAGTACACACATACACTTATAATATAAATTTTATTATACTGAATTAAACAACTATTGTAATAAAAATAATATTTAAAAAGTAACAAATTATACATAAATTGAAAATAAAAACAAAATAATTATTTTATAGTAAAATTACTATAATTCTGTTAATTATTAGTTAGAAAGTTATTACTTAAAAGGTCTTATGTTTATTCAGTATAGTATTCATTTAAGACATACAATGTACATTATGTGCTAACTGTGTTACCCAGACAGAATGAAAATATAAATAATTTTAGAGTAATGTAAATTTGAAAACTATTTAAATTAAATTCACATTTATATAAAGCTACTTAACTTTTTGTTTCAAGCTTAGTATAATATTTTATAATACTATTAATACTGTAAAATTTGTATTATTTAGGGAATTCATTAGTGATGAAATGGAATTAAAATTAGCTGTAACACCAGTAAGAATAACACCTTGCTAATATAAATACAAATAACATTTAAAATGTTTATTCTATAAAAATATAATAGTTTTATCCAGTTATCTATTTCAACCAAAATCATGAAATTGACGGCAACTTTAAAGAATTTCTTGATATATTAAAAAACAAATTTAACATTAGGTACTCGGTATTAATTTGTTTATAAAAATATACTAAATATTGTTATATTAATAACTTATTTATTAATTATAGCAGTAAACTATTGATATCAGATCGTGGTTGGCCTGGAGTTGTTGACATGTTGGTGACCAATGTAAATATAACAATAATATAATTATATTAAACTTATCAAGTTACTAAATTTATAAACAATTTAATATATCTGAAAATACCTGTCCAGCAAGTGGATATGTCATTAGCCGGGTTAATACCAATGTACGAACGTCTGAAATATATGAGTTTCTCGAAAAACCTGGTCTATGGCTTGTATGTCATACTAACCAAATCACACCAACACCGAGAAAATAGCGATATATTGGATTACATGACGAATATCCGGTGGGATGTATGGCTGTCATTGTCAGCCGTTTGTCTCATCATATTATTGCTTAATATTTTCGATACATATTTATTTGGCACTAAAATACAGATAAACATTTGGTGTCTCATTCGTGTGCATCTCAATCAACGTATGTATTATAATATATTACCAAGATAATAATTTTTAAATAAATTAATTATAAACATGTATATTTTCTCATTAATTTATACAATGATATATGAGTTTATAATTATAATTTAACATGTTATAGATTACGTGACAAACTGGGGATTAAATTCAATAACAGCTCTATTATCGCTATATATCATGTGCTATACATTCATATGTGTGCTCATGAATGGATTTATTGGTGTGAAAATTGTGCTAGTTAGTCCGCCAAATGAAATCAATTCAATCAAGGATGTAGTCAATACAAAGGGAGTCATACCATCCATTTATAAAACGACACTTCTTTTAACATACTTTATGGTTAGTATACTAGCTAGGTACATTATAAATAATATAAATTCTAAAAGCAATATAATGGTTTATGAACTCGTAAACATAACACATTTTGCATAATACTAGTTATTGCGGGTAATCATTGAAAATTACATAAATTTTTATATAAATAAGTTAATTTAAGTAAGTTAATTTTTAAAAATTATACATGAAATGACTTTTAGAAAACAAAACCACAATTCCTACCACATATTCCATAAAATTGATTAACCTAGAACAGCTTGCACAAATTATCGATATTACTAAAATATTTGTAATACATAGTAACAAATATTTGTATGAAATATGATTTACAGAATGAAAGTGAGAAACCATTTCACAGCCAAATATGGGGTCTAATGCGAGACCGTGAAGACGTGTCATTGCGTGTAATCCCCGCTAATCCTACCGATCAAGTCGTCGGCTTTAATCACAAATTCTACTCCTATTTGGCAAACGGATGGCATTGTTTGAGCCGGATTATCTCACTGAATTGATCAAGGATGTCTACTGTCGCAAAGTGCCGACTATGAGGTGGCACATGTCGCCGCCCATAGACGTATCGCCCCCTAGGTTGACGTTTGCTTTCAGCAAATATTTGGCTCAACACAAAATAAACAGGATCAATTTCATGTGATTATGATAATACATTTATGTTTAAATACCCTCTATTTAATTATTCATTATAATGTTGTTATCATTTACAGTAATCTAGCTAGATTTTTATGAAATATTATGCATGTGAATTTTAAAGTTTGAAATATTCAGTACATTTAATTTTAAAATATTATTTTCCACATACATTTGCAAATATTGTGCTTGTTTACATTTAACAACCTAAGTACCCGGCTTAGATAATTGCTAGAAATGAATTACTTTGTAATATTACAATAGTATAGAAAATTTGATATCTAATGGACTGATGAACAAATGGTTCACTAATACTAGTGTAATAGCCCAGGGATTTGGCGGTCAACTCAACATGAACTGCATATCAAATCAATATCATAAGGAAATACCCTTGTTCACTCCCATCTCTAACGCTAATTTAATTACATTTTGCTACCTATTGATGTCGATATTATTGGCAGCAATTGTAACATTCATTTTGGAGTTTATTTTGTAAACATTGAATAACTATCAGATAATTATTAACAAGAAAATGTTCATTGATATCAGAAAACAATAAATTATATTAAATAATCCAAATTAATTTACAACTAAATTTATTTTGCTCAAATCCATAGTATAAAATTGTATAAATAAAATTATTAAAACCATAAAATAAAATAATTATCAGATAAACACATTGATTCAACAATTTAATGACTAGTGTATAATTAATCTTAATAATATACACGAATAGCATATAAAGTAGTTTCCCATAAGGCTATAGAACCAGGTACAATTAATGTAAACTTTAAGTCAAAATGTGCCGCCAGAATATAAAAATCGATATTATTTTGTTTGTTATTATAATAAAATTGATATTTAAACAATAGAAATATTGTCAAAATTTGAAAGAAAATTAATATAATTGTGGCATGAATATTATAATTTTCTTTTTACATGAACTCATAAATAAAATTTTGGTTCCCACAAATAAATAGACATTATATACATTTACTGTATTTACATTATATTAATATACCTTAAATGATGTAAATTATTAATGAAATCTAATATTATTATTGTATTCCTTGTAAGATAAACATATATGGTAATTAACCATTTTAGATAAATTAAATTATTATATTTTTACACCTTTTAATATGATTAAACCTTTATGTTTAAATATTAGTAAAAGTTTTAATGGTACAAAGTTTTTATTTAACATGTTTATAATAATTGTTATTATTAGAAGTAAGCGACATTTTTGCTTTAAAAAATTCAATAAAAAATTTGTTTTCATTTTCGTTCAAAGTATCCAAAATAGACTCATATTCAGGGTCTTTTTCGACAGTACCAATATCAATGGCCCAATCAGTTGGTGCGTTCAACACTAGTGCGCACTCTGGTCTATGATCCGGGTCATCCGATTGCATTGACAACAATAATTTCACTAATTCCGTCATGCATTCGTTGACAACTTCACAATCCGAGGTATACATATCCGAGCTATATGTTTTAAATATATGATACAATTACAATTTACTAAATTCTAACAAAATTAACTAGTTCAATTTATAGATACTATTATTTTAATTACGAGAATTATAAAAAATAAATTATTAAAATGATTAATATAACTGCTCATATAAATAGTAAGGAAGTATAATACTATAATAATTGACTACTGTATAAAGCTAAATAACAATAAAATTTTTATGTGTATAAATTACCTTAATTGTTCTAGGTCAATACAAAATATATCTAGTTCGGCAATTCGTGACAAACTGTAAATGTCCACTTTATGACTATAACCCTGGTTTCCAGCAATTTCGGGGGCACAGTATTTAGGTAATCCCTTTTCGGACGTGTGCTCGTGAATTGTAGCCAGACCAAAATCGCTTACTTTAAAATGTATACCATTTTGCACATTCTTAGCCAATAATATATTATCGGGTTTGAGGTCTCTATGAGTGATCGGTGGCTGAAAATTGTGTAAACTCTGTATACAAGTTAACACTTCTTTGAATATTTCACACGAAATGAAATATTCAACAGAATTCATGGCTTCTTCAGACTCTCTGCAAAATAATTGTGGTTTTAGTTCCAGAATATTCTGCAGACTATCGGCACATAATTCCATACGAATGTAGTAATCGTCGCTTTCATGCCATTGACCCAAATACCGGACACAATATTCTGAGCGCACTTTCACCATGGTGTCCAATTCTTTAAGACATACATCTAGGTCTTTATCCACTAAGTTATGAATACAGAATAAGTATTATTGTTACTAATTATTATTATACATGGGTAATTTATTTTAAAATTTGTATATAAGTTCTAAACATAATCTTCATTTATAGAATATTCTTGAGTCAAAGATATCAATGATTTAATAATCAATTATAAAGAAAATTATGTATTCACAATGTTTCGTAAATACAAATTTTAAATATTTTGATTTATATATAGAATATACGGCAGTGGTTGTCATTCTATAAATATAGTGACAACTAACCTTGTAACAACTTTGCATTTTAAAGCATTTGATTCAACACTAGTTATTTTATTAATCTCTATCACTTGAAATTAAAAGTAATAATTTGAAAATTAATAATACATCCATTTTCTTACATACAAATATTTATTAATTAGTCAAACTTGATTATTGTATTTTTTGCTTATTATCAATACCTATGAATAACAAATGTTCATAAATATAATATAAAATATTAGTTTTTAAATCAAATATTATATTGATTAGTAAAGTGATTAAGGTTATATTATAAATAAAATAACTAGTGTTGAATCAAGTGTTTGAAAATGTAAATTTGTTTCAAGGCTAGCTGTCACTTAAGTGACAATTTGAAAACCACTGGTATTATATCATACGGTGATATATTGTTTTTATAAAAACACACTAGAAAAATATATATTTATATATGGTAATTTATGTAAAACTTTAAACTATATTTACATTTCATGTTAATTATTTTAACAGCATATTCCTGATTATCGCTTTTAAGTTTTGCTTTGAATACAGTGCCAAATGATCCTGAACCTAATTTTCCAAACTCATCGTAGTAAATAGCATATTTGGTAAACTTTTTCAATTTATCGTTTGCTGATAATAAAAAATTATTAACAATATATGATAGATGCAATACATCAAAACATACGTCTGAACTCTGTTTGATTACACGTTAAAGATATTCCTTAACACTACAACAGTGTTAAAACGTATATTTTGGTTACTGGTACATAATTACACTTACAAACAAATTTAACTTCATTAATCAGTGAAATGATATCGGCCAGATAATCTCTAAATTTTTCGATAAACTCGTCGCTCGTTTTAAAATTATATTCACCATGCTCGCTTATATTAATAGTTTTATGAGTTAATCGGAATTCATACAAATAGCATTCAAATACATTATCATAAAACGTTTTAATCATTTCTTTATTGCCATTTATATTGCAAACTCTGTCACCGCCTAACACTATAACCAGAAACCCATTGGCTAATCGTGAAAACACGCCAAATATATCTTGGTACTTTTGATCGTTAAATAACACAATGGGTGACTTAACGTAACTGTAGCCGTCTTGTTGGTTACCGCACTGACCGCTAAAGTGTATGCACCCATCATTAGTCAAGAAATAGGTGTAGGCGCCACCGGAACACACCCTATGAACGCCAACAATATCAACGATTAGCGTCGGTATCGCTATATCGACGGCTGAATTGTGGCCCAAATTGTAGAAACTATTTGCGCCCCAACTGTACGCCTTTCCGTCCCGTGTGATCGCGTACGACGAGTAAAGGTAACAAAAAATGCTTTTGATATTGCCTTCACTATTGCCGCCATTGAATCCAAGTTGTGTCGGCTCCCTTACCTCAAAGCGGGGACCACCAGTACCCACCTGTCCGTTCTGATTGCAACCCCACCCGTACACCCGGCCATCCCCAGTGAGCGCCATAGCGTGGAAAAAGCCGCAACTTATTTGACAAACATCTTGGTCACTTAGTATCGCTATTTCTTGCGGTACCAGAAACTCCTTGCATGGATAACGGCCTACCTGTCCCCACTCATTATAACCCCAGCCGTACGTACGGTTATCCTCAGTGATCGCCAATACAAAGTCACTTCCGATGAAGAATTGTTTGACATTCTTGTGACACAATTGGGGTATAATTTGTGGCGAATTCTGGGGTGTGTTGTCTCCCAATCCGAGTGAACCCCATATATTAGATCCCATTCCGTACACCAAATCATTTTCAGTGGCAAACAGTATGTCGTCCCCTCTCTTGTCGTCGAAAGCGTGGAATAATTTTATTAATTTAATGTCGTTTAGTATATCAAATTCAACATGCTCATTTTCGGTATATAAGTCACTCGGTGAATTCATAATTGTATTTAAGAAAAGTTAATTTATTATAAGTAGTATATTGTCTCAAAACATGTCGCATACCGTACACACCCTATTAATACATAGGTGCATAGGTGCCAGGCTTTTATTGTCTTGTTATCTCTATTCTTGTGATTATAAATAATTGTTGGTTTTCACTACTAATATATTAATAGATATTTAAAACATATCAGTATATTAATGATACAGAGGTAGTACCAATAGTGATAGACATAGTTATAATATAATTTAATATATAGTATAATATAATTATATTTATATTATAATATTGTGTTATAATAATTTATGAGTTAATAGTAGAATGTGCATTGCGAATAAACCTTGAATTTAGATATCACACAAACATAAACATAAATTTATCATAAGCAATTTATACCAGTATTAACAATTCAATTCTTATATGACAATGCTCCTTTATGCCAGCATACCTATATATATAATATTCAGTTAGACGGGAATCCCAATGTGAGATATGCATCACACAATTTTGAATATCGACTTGATGAATTTAAAAATTGAATGACGTTTTTGTATATGATAATTAGACGGACGTCCCAAAATGAATTACCCATCACGCAATTTTGGGCATCCATATGATGTATTAAATAGCAGGGTTACGGTTTCCTTATATGACAATGCCCACTGTATTCCTGCACTTATCATAACTAGTATATTACGTTTCAATATGTCTAATACACACCCAAAAATACATAAGTAGAAATTATCATAAATAAAGGTTAGTTTTTATTAACAATAAATTGTATATTAATATTTATTCAAAACATAATAAAGATAGACATAGAGTTATAACGTTTATATTTATATAATAATATTGTTATAATTATTGTATATATTCCAAATATGATATGCATGGCTAATAAACATTGAATTTAGATATCATACATAAACATAAATATTTCATAAAAAATTAATACCTGTATTAACAATTAAATTCTTACATAACATTATTACATAATACCGCATTATCAATATTTTACAATCAGTATTGATGCCTGATAACTTTATTAAAAGTACAATAAAATTAGAATAGCTTTTACTAACTAAATAATTTACCTTTAGATCTGTTTATTATAATTGCCAAAATAAATTAAACTATGTCCACAACCCCTATTGTTTTAATATTTTTAAAACAGGTTTAAAACATTAACTAGATAATAGATAATAACAGTAACTAATTTGAAAGCAAGTAAATTCAACCCTGTTCAATTCATATGCTCCCATAAAAACTTAACAATGCGTTAACGAGA